GCAAATTCCTTTTGGGATTTACCCTCCTCACAAAGAACATCAACATTTCAGCATTTTTCAGTTGAAACATCTGACATTTGATACTAAAATATGTCAAATGAAGAACATATTATATGTTATTTTCTGCTTGAATTTCTGGGATGTGAAGTTATCATTATTTGCAATATATACATTCAGACTATTGCACTCATCTTTGTTGTTGTTTTTATCACAACATTTCAGCTATTGTGCTATTGGGTCTTACAGGGAATTCTGAACTGAACCCTTTATTTAATGAAATGGGTTAGTCAGTGTTTATCAGCCTCTTTAAACAATAGTACACCCAAATGAAAATGAAAATATCACGGCACACTTAGCAACATTTTTAAAGGCTATACATTTAAATGTTATGAAATAAAACCATAGAGTTAAAAAAAAAAATAGACACAAATATGAACTTAATTTATTTCAATGTTTCTATTCAATTATTTGTACAGCTTATTTAGTGTGAAACCTGTGCCTGGTGGTTTTTTTTTTTGGTTTTTTTTTGTGATTTCTTCAATGTTTGGTCAAATGTGTGATAAGCAGATCATCATTTATTCTTCAATTGTGCATCATCTTATCATTTGAACTATTTGAAAAAAGTTTAATACTTATTCATTTATTCAAATACTAACACTGTATTGTTACTACTTCCACACACATATATATATATATATATATATATATATATATATATGTATGCCATGGCAATATTTTGCAGTACCCTTAAGAGGATCATGTGGCACATTATCATGCTGTGGCACATTATCATGCTGTGGCACATTATCATGCTGTGGCACAGTGGTTGAGAATCACTGGGTTAAATTTTTCTCATTCCACTGTCCATGTTTAGGAATATTTAATCTAGTTCTTATTTTTAGTACTGCTCAGTTATTGCTCATCCTGTTTTCACTAAGTTCAACTTAGGGATTGTACTCACAATTACTATGTCACCAAGTTCATGATCCAATGTCTTAATCCAGTAGGCCATTGTAGTGATTTGAATTTAATGCACTTTAGTTACAAACAGGAATTACGTTTTCATATGCTTCTGACAAGTAAATGAAAAATGAAAAATTCTTTATTTGCTTTATATTATTTTAAACATTTTATTGAAGATTTTTGTCTGTTAAACAGTTACAAAATAAAAATGCAATATATTTTATAAGTAACTTTTCCTACAATTCAGCTAGCTAACACATCTGTCTAATGTTCTTCTTTATTATAAATATAAATTGAATAAAGTTACTTAAATGAAATCAAATATCACTTTTTATTACAAATTAAAATAACTGGCTAGTAGATGACAAAAGATTTTTAGGTTTAAAGTCTGACTATTCCGAAACAGATAAAAAACATCTTTTATCCTTCTCTTGAATAAAAAAATATTTAGACAAGAAGACAGAATAAATTATTGACAGAAGACTGGGGTATTTGTAGTCATTTTATATAAAAACTGACATTTTAACTTATGTGACACTATTATATAATATCTTTATTTTTATTCACAAAGTAGACAAATGCAAAATAAATTGACAATACATGCAATTGCTAATCACAAATGTAATATTACACTTGTGATTGTATAGACTGTATTGCTAAACTTACTATTATTTATGATTACATAATTACATCTTGACAAGGATCCACTTAATTAGCTTCTTTTTTTTTTAATCATTTCGTCCCAAACAAGGCAACAATGCTACTAAGATTCATGGGATTACTGGGAGAGAATGAGAAAACTTTAGTGAGGAGAAAGTACAATAAAAGAACAGGTTTCAGTAAAACAGAATATGGGGATTGTTATTGCATTTCAATTTTTTGAAGCAAGAAATCAGTAGAGTTTCACAGGCAAGAAGTGTAAGGAAAGAAACTATTAGAATAAAACTTGGTTACATTGAGCTATTTCAAATGAAAAACAATGAGACCTAGTAGCCAATCAAGGTACCAAGGGGAAGAGCTCATTAGAACAACTGCCATGAAAATATTTATAGAAAAAACAGAGGGAAGTCATATCATGGCAGTGGAAAAGTGGCTGAAGTTCAGATGCCAGATCAGGACCAATAACATAATGAACTCTTCTATTATTTTGTCAAGAATATATATATATATATATATATATATATATATATATATATATATATATATATATATATATATAGCAGGAGTACCAGACAAGATATGGCAGCAATATTCAATGAATGGATGAATGGTAGATTTATAAATGTGCAAGATCGATTCTGATGAGAAAAATTGTCTGGCATGACACAGTGAACCAACCTTCTTAGCAGCAGACCTAGAAAAATTCAATATAATCACTCCACTTCATTTCAGTAGAAAACATGAGACCAAGAAGGTACAATGAGTTACTTTCCTGGAGGTTAGCATCAACCATGCTGGTGGAGGGCAAGCAAAAAGGATGAAAAAGAGAGAAAGAAGCTGATAGTTGATAGTGCATATGTTTATTTTTTATTCTCAGGATATTTTATTAATTTATTGAGAGAATGAATACAACACTATATTACCTCAATGAATATAAATGTAAGCTTCCAACAATACTTCTGAAAATAAATTCCAAAGAACTATTAAATGTTAAAAAAATTAATTAGCATTAATTTTACAAAATAAAATCCCTAATTTTAAGAGTAAAATAAAAACATTCTTGTCTAGTTCCATATCTAGTTCAGTGAAGTACAACAAAAATTCTGTATTTCGAATTTCTGGAAATCTATTATTCTTTTTATTGTGAAAATGTCAATTAGTCAAATTATTTCATGACCTTTTAGCTCATTGGAGTAACATGCCAAGTCCTTTATGGAATTTCTCAGGACAATGACAATTACGACTTAAGTGGTTACCATCTCCTTTATAAATGCACTGGGTTACACTCTATCAGCAGCAGACAATCATCCCTAATCTGATGGGAAAGGTAGATTCATGCCTTTCCCAAGAGCATTAGTTCCAAGTCTATGCATAGAGCTTCAGCCAGAAACTGAACTTAGATTGTCGCTTCCATTTTGTCAACTGTTAGGGCACTTGCAAAATATGATTAAGTAATAGAAAAAAAGTTATTCTCAGACAACATCAAGGACAACTATTAATACTCCAGTAGAGTGAGTGAAAAAAATGTGTCATTTTATAGACCAAATGCAGGATATGAGTCATTGAATGAAATCATACTGTAAACGATTAACAGACAGGAGACAAATATTACAATTATAGAAAAACATTTATTCTATTTTTGTAGAGTTGAAATTTTTAATTGTAGACAGAATTGATGCATTTTTTGTAAAATTTTCAAACTTTAATGATAATTTAATAAAGCAAATTATCTCCACCACCACACACACATTTTCTCCTTTACAAGTTTGAGAGCATTCACAATCATGTTCATTCTGTCGTACTAAGCAGGAAATTGTGCTCACCACACCAACTAATGATGACCTCAATGGGTGAATGAAGGAAGTCTGTTGTTTATTCTACTTCAACAAAGAGGTCTATGGGTTTGATTGAAATAAATAACATTCTTCACTCACATATACTTGCCTCTTCAATGAAACTCAAAATACTCAATAAACTAAGTCAAATTTAACATATAGACTTTTTTTATAGATTATTCTATGATTTTGTTTTGCTCAAGAGGAAATTGTAATCAATATTATTAAGTAAAAACTGACAAGAACCTCAAAACTTTCTCCCTATTTCTTTTGCATATCTATTTTTTAATTTCATGTATTCTTGTCCATTTACTATATCTACACTACAGAAGCAGAGTCAAAATTATCTTAGCACTCTTAGGATGAGGATTTTTCTTTAATATAAATAATAAAAATTCAATATAATCTTTTTAAATCTTATATTTTTAAATATATATATTTAAACATGTAAATTATTATAAGAGTGACTATTGATAAAGGTTAACAAAACTATTTTTGATCATAGAATTTCAAGCAAAATTTGAAATATTTTAATCTTTAATGCAAACATTTTAATTTAGTAAACTTTTATTTTCACCAATTTCAGTTTTGAATCAAAAACAATTACTTTAGAATGAAAATTTCACTGTAGCTGTAATAATTATATTATTCTTAATCACCATTTCATTTCTTCATTCCAAGAAATTTGCTACCTTTTCTTTTTTGTCACATGCCAAATGCTTCAATATATTTTGTCATAATGCCACTCCTGTGAAAATTTAATCAGTCCTGTTAAGAAATGATGAAGACATAAAGTAAGATGGTTGTCTTAGAGGAAGTCTTATGAGTAATTGTAATAATTGGTTTTGTGATGCTGAAACAAATATAACTTAAAGAGTTTACTTGCTTGAATTAAAATGTCAGTAAATACCCCACCTCTCCTTAACTAAAATCTGGTCATACTTTTCCTGTGCCACAAGTAACAGTGACAAGCTGCATTTGTGAAGGATTTTTTGACTTTCCATTACTTATACCAATGAACACTTAAAAAGAGTGAAAATAAGAAATGTTACTGTTGATGGTGATGTTGATGATGATAATATAGGCAGAAAGGTTGCCTCTGCTATATCTACATGTTTCACATTGCCTATTGTGTCTATGTTTTAAGACTGTATAAAAAAAAAATCCCAGCTAGTTGGAGTGTTGTATATGTTGAAGTATGTTTGAAATTGGTTCTCAGTATTCTTTGTAAACAATTTTACTACACTCATAAGAGCATTTGTCACAAAGATGAAAACAGTCAAGTACATCAGGAAGGAATAATTGATCACAGAGAAAACAACTCATTCAGTTTGACCACAATATATAACCCTTGCTTTAATATGAAGATATTCAGTGCTGGAAAAACAATGTTTATTATAAAACAGTATCAAGAACTGGTAGTAAATGCATTCATTCATAAAATTAATTTAATATATGATCTGAGTACAACGTTGGATGCCTTTCAGATGAAGACACATAATGTCAATAAGAAATTGAAAGATTATTATAATTTTTTGTCAGCTACCCCACGTAAAAAAACTGGAGCTGTGGACACTTCCAATATGACAGTAGCAACTGTAGTGAAAAGAGGAAAAGGGGAGAAGAAATCACCTCATGATATAACGGGTATGAAAAGAATTGATTATTTCTGACTTTCTTTGTTTTGATTCTTTAACAAAATTATTTGACTTTTATTTGTTCATTGATTTCTTTTGTTTTTTTTTGGTTCAGTTATTTTAACCATCATTTTATATTCACTTTTTCATGTTTAGAGTTATTTTCACTTAATTGAAGAAACTTTATTTTTCATCAACTTATTTTATATTTAAAATTATTTTCTGCAAAGGTTAAACTGTTCAAATTTCACACTGCCTATATACATAGTTGAAATATTGAAAATACAACAAATATGTTTTTATAAGATTTTATATATTTATGTATTTGTCAGCTAATTAAATTGTATTTTGTAAGCCTTTGTTTTCAAATAATTTTAGTAATATATGATACTTTGTTATTGGCATTTCTTAATATTCTTCCTTTAAAGAATTAAATCATTTATCTATAAATAGTTCCAATGTGAAAATAGTTATTTAGCAAATGTTTAATTATAAATATAAGTATTTTTTTTAATAGTCTGTATTTACATTTTAATAAACACATGGCCAAAATGTCTACAGTCAATAGATACAGATATATAAATTCTGCAATCAACTGAAAATTTAATTCTTTTTTTTATTGTATGCAAATTTTAATATTAAAATCAATGATTTTCTTTGTTGATATCAATATAGTCTGTTACATTCACTTTTGAACTAATGTTCTTGGGAAAGGCATAAACCATCTCTTCCCCACTCAGGTATGGATTAAATAGCAGGGTAATCTACCCTACTATTTAGCCTAGAGTAGCAGCCAGTCTGGGTGAAAGACAACTCTGAATTTGAAACTGTGGAAAAGATCATAAAGAAAAGGAATCTGTGGAGAGTCATGATCGTTTACATACTGAAGAAACATGGAAAAAAAAAACAAAAAACATTCAGTTATATAATTAGCTTATGTTGAGTTTTGTAATCATTTTTCAGTATAATTTCTGTATCTGTTCTGTAGAGTTTATCAATATGTAAAGATCTTCATTATGTTATTGATTATAATATCCATAGATTGTAGCCAATAAAAATTTGGCAATATACTTTATGTGAAATGAGTTTGATTCTTTAGAAGTAATCTGGTTCAAATAGGCTTTTACTTTTACTCTTGATAATTTCCTTAAAATATCAGGAAGACATCAGAAAAATAAATTCTGAAATCTAACTAATCCAAATAAAAGCAAAAGTAATTTAATATAAAAAGTTTTCATATGTTAAAAAATGAATCATACACAAAAGAATAGTTATTAAACATATTGGATTATTAAGTTAAAAACTAATTGAAATTACTTTGATTAATAAGAAAAGAATTAATAAGAAAAATAAAATCAGTTATTTTTTAATAAATTAGTAGGGACATATTCAATTTCTTTGGTTAAAATATATGTTAGGTTAATGCTCAAGAATGAATTTCTGTTTATTGCAGCTCTTTTTGATGCAGTTGAGCAACAAGATTTGGATCAAGTTAAATTTATACTAGAAAACAATTCCCTTGATTTAAATAGGTTAGTAAACTTTTGCTTTTTTTCATCTACATTTATCAATCTCCAGTGAAATAGACACATATTCTATAGCCCTATTTTGTATCATTTTATCTAGCTAAGCATTTTATATTCATACAACTAAATTTTATATTTTGTGAATGTCTTTAAAAAACTCAAAGTATCACCAGTTGTATAAAACTTATTTTAAACAAGATTGTCAAAAACGACCCTTCATTAATTCTGTGTTCACTTTTGTTTGCTTTTAAATAAACCTTATGCAACAAACATATATATTTTGATTTCTATGATATAAATTCTAACATTTGCATTAAAATTTCATAAGTTAGCTGTTCATTAATTTTTTCCTATTTTGAAGTTCCCTCTAAAACTTTGATGAAAAATCATAATTGTTTAAATTAAATATGAATTATTTATTGAATGTTCATTTTAAACCACTTTGGGCAATTTCTTCCACTTTTTACTAATATTTAAATAAAACCTAATAAGGTATGCTCCAAATGTTATGCCTCCTTCTGATTTCCATGGAAACTACAACAGATATAAGGAGCACAATAACACTAATGCATAGAGAATTTTTTTCAACTATAAAACTATTTTTCCACACAGCAACTACCAATGGTTATGGTTTTTCAACAGTTATGGACAAGAGTTTACATACTATACTCATAAAAATCTGCACTGTGACCCACTTTTTTTACAAACATCACTGTTGTTGAAATGGATTACCCACTGCCTAATTGTTTGGTCTCTGTAAATGTTCAACAAACATTGATAGATGTCAATGTGTGCAGTTTTTTCTGTGTGGAATAATTCAATGATACTTTTTTTTTGTATGCACTTTCAAGTCAGATGCCATTTTGACAGACTACCACACTGCTGCTTTCTGTAATAAGGCAAAAAAATTATGGATTATTTGTGAGAAAATTCAAACTCTACTACCATGCCATCAACATCTGTGTCTGATGTAACGAGCCAATGTAATAAGAGGCATTACATTTGGAGCTATCTTCATATTTTTACACGTCTTTCCTTTTTTAATATTTTTAATGTTAACTTGGAAAAAATGTAAATGCAATTATTTATAATTTATTTATTTAATTATATATTTCTTGAGCATTTTTCTTTTAATAGTTTAAAAATATTGTGAAACATTTTTTACAAATGATAAAGTTCAATATGAAGGAACATTATTTATTCTGTCCTTAGCGTTAATTGTGAAAATCTTAGCCCACTGGACATTGCTGTGATGACTAATAATATTCCAATGGCCAAATATTTGCTCAGCCATGGTGCAAAAGAGAATCCATTTTGTAAGTTTTTTTTTTCTTTTTTCATCAGAAACACAGAAACAACCAGTTATGTATTTTGTAGTTTTAGATCAATTTTTATTCTTGTTCAACTGAAAAATAATTATTTTAAATGAACTCTGATATTTTAATCTACCATGAAATAGAATAGAAATCAAAAGAAATTAGCTTCCTCATTAGCTTAATTTTTACTCAGAAGCTGAGTCCAAAAATGCATTTTTAGGAATACTATTTATTGTCATTCAGAACTGCAGTAGAGGTTTTTGCATTCTCATTGACCCAGTATAAGGAAAGATACAGAAATGAATGTATGTTTATGTCGAAAATATGGCATGCAAATATTATTAGATACTTGACATCGCCAATGCTAAAAATCTTCATAGATTAATATATCTATGCAAATTTCATCCAGAAGAAACATACTGATGATAGGAATGTTTTGGATAGGTAAAAGGCTGATAAAACTTTGAAATTAGAAGAGATTAAAGAAAGGTAATTAGTTTATCAGTATCTAAGTTAATACTTCATCAAGTAATAGATGAAAACAGCATTAAAAGAAAAATATCAGTTCATATTAGAAGTAGTCTAGAATGGATACATTGTGGCCAAAAAAATTCCATCACTAATCAAAAAACTTCAAACAAGGTAAAAAGATTGAGCAAAAAAAACATCTGCCAAGGGAAAATAAAAAATGGGCAACCATGATATTTAGTGATGAAAGAAAATTCAACAAGTTTCTAATGTAAAAGATTGTCTGAAGACCAGTTTATGATTTTTTTTTTTTTTAGAGTTTATGCCATCTAATGAGGGTGACTGGGTAAACATACTATGTACTGATTATGACTTATAAAGTCCATAAACATCAGTTTAGTCAGTCAACACATTTTGCACTGCTGTGGACACCACTCATCCTATTTCTGCTGCAATTGTGGTTCATGGCAAGATTCAAAGCAAATTATTGTAATGGTTTGCTGGGTCCTTTTGCACCAGGGATGTTGAAGTTACCTTGTCCCTCTTCTCAGAAGTTCCTCTGCTCAATAGTAAAGTCATTGACCTCTGAGGCTTACAGGTCTTATAGGTGTATTGTCAGTGATAGTATATGTGCAGCAAAGCAGTTGATCCTGCTTTACTCGGGAAAATTGGGATGCAGAACTGTACTAGTCCATGGCCTGCATCCAACTCTCACACATGGTTCTAAGAAGTCACATGAGCACTACCACAACCATGCCCCAGTTAACGGAATCAACCTGTCAATTAAACTGTGTGAGGGTATTTGGAAGGGTTTTCTGATCTGACCAATGAAGAGCAATGCCTCTCCCCAACCCACCTGTGCCATCAGCCAGTCACCAACCTGAGCATAGGAGCTTCACCATAAATATATAAATAAAATTTAATACTATTTTTCTTCTAGTGGCACATAATACATGCAGATCTTCTTTTTCAGGATCACTACACCTTCATATATGTCCCTCCCTTTGCACTTTGTCAGTGTACACTGTTAAACAGTTATAACTTCTGAGTAAAAATGAAACAAATTGATTTTTTATATCAGTAGATCATTTCCTTTGCTTACCACTTTACAATGAAGGAAGTATTTAAACCCTTATGCTATCATCTTAAATGTTTCTTTTATAAGGTAAGAAATAATAAAAATCTAGCTCATTGGACTTATGTTTTGAGCTGTTAACTTATTAAAACAAGTAGCAGAAAAATGATAAAATAATTTTGGTGACATTTTGTTATACTCTGAATAAAAAGTGTGTTACAAATGTAAAGAGCAGAAAATAAAGATATTGATAAGTTATAAGTTGTAAAATATAGTGTTGTTTGGGTTAACTATAGTTTTCATAGACAGTACAAGTAGCTTAATAAATCAGATTATGTCTTGAGGGAATCATTGGGGCTCCACAGCTTCTCATCTTGTTGCTCTCAGCAAATATATATCCTTTGTGATCCCTCCTTGTTTTGATGTTACTCGAAAGATAACTATAAAAATCAAGTTGTTCTGAGCATAGATTTGTTCATTTTTAATAGCCATCAGATTGCTCTCATGACAAAAACTTTGATAAGTTACAGTGTTGATAATATCATTAGTTTTCATGAATAACATTTGGTGATTGAACAACTTTTAGAATAAACTAATTATAATATTAATTTAAAGTAAATATCAAAGAATTGCATTTAAAATTTTCTTTTCTCCCTTTTAGTTCAGCAACCGGAATACTGTGCCCAAATGCTTGATACTCTAGTGGCAGATGCAGAAAGCAAAGTTGTTAATTTGATGGCAGCAGTCTTAAATGGATCATCTGCTGGAAATAATGTCTCTTCCTTGCACCAAAAAGTAATTATGGGTCTTAATTATATTTTATATTGTTTGAAAATGTCACTTACAAAAAAAACAAAAAAAACTGTTTTATTCTCTATGAAGTTGTAATGTGTTTGTTGCGATTTAATTTTAACAAGGGGAATAACTTCTGCATATTTATAAAACCAGCCTTTAAAAAATAAATTCTAAAAATACTGACGAAATTTAATTTAAAAACTTAAATTAAAAATTAACTTAATTTTACTTATTTTTACGATAATTTCGATTTTTTAATGCATTTTTTTTTTCAGGAAAACGAGAAGCAGCTTGCTCACTGGGAATTTAGGCACAAATTGCTTAAGAGAATGAGAACCGGTTATTGCCTGGCTCGTAAATATTTATTTCATTTCATATGCATCAAATTTTTTTTTTCATCTTTGCATATTACATTTTACTTTGAGGTTTAAAAGAATATTTATTATAAAAATATATGAAAATTTTAGACAAAATATTTTTTTGTTATTTAAAATACGTATTTTAAAGTGCTTTAATAATTTAAATAAATAGAAAAAAGAAAGAGAATTAACATAAATGAAAACAGTAAGAAAAATAATTTTGGCAAAGATAAAAATATTTATCACTGCATGAATTTTTGCCCAAATTAATTTTACAAGTTAAAATATTTTCACTATTCTGTTTTTGCATAAGAATTTTCATATTTTCTGTTGAGTTATATAGTCAATACTTTTTTAATGCCTTACAATGGTGTTGGGACTTTTGGGTCATTTGATTTATCAGAAGGATTTTTGTTATTATCGGTTGCGTGTCTAACCGTGTCCCAAACAAATATACAAACAAGCGTGAGATTTCAAACAAGGAAAAAACGAGACATATAGATCAAAACAATAAAGCATTTATATACAATTAAACATTTACAAACTGGAACAATATGTGTATTAATGCGTGCGTAAATTGTATGTGTTGCTGGAATGTTTGATGTCTGTGTCGTTATGTTTGCTATTTTCTTGTTTGTATCAAATATTTTGGAGTAATAAGATTTAAGAGTTTTTGCAAAAGTTTGTCGAAGTAGTCTACCTTTGAACGTGTTTGTGTTTGTATCGTATTTCTTATTTTTGTAATGATTATAAATCAATATGTATAAGAAATTTAGTGGAAAGTTTCGAGAGTCGTTCGTTGAATGTTCAAAGTGAGTCAGTGAGTGTTCTTTGAAAAGCGCGGCAAGATTGTTTTTCCAAACGTCGTGGAGTATTTAGGCAATTGCTCGGTGAATTTGCTAGACTGACTGAATGGGGTTGGTAATTTTCTTTATCGTCTGGTCAGCGATGACTATGACGGGAGTCGGTGAAATGTTACATCTTGAAGGTTGGTAATTACAGCTACTCTGCTGCTCCGCTTCCACTGAAAGGGGCTGTCTGCTTTTCCTTTATATAACACTTGGGTTTTCAAAAGTGGCTCAAGTCGTTTTGGCGCAATTCTTGTTTCAGAAGACGATTGACCAATGGAATTGCTTGGTTCGATTCTTGCCATTTCTATTGGTTGAGGTTTTTCTGTACGTAGGCGTACGATGTGGACTGTGCCTTTTTAAGGTTAGAGAAGGTTAGAATACTAGAAGAGTCCACAATGGTATTAGTTTTTATGAAACGATAAAAACAATAGTTAAATACTTCATTGTTTGAAATAATGAAAACTCAAATAACATGAAAACTATATTAACAAAAGGCTTTGGGAAAAAGACAGTTGTGATGAAAATTTTAGTAAAGAATTCTCTATTTAATTGATGTTGGCCAACATGGTTTAAACAAATCTCATCCAAAACATATTTCTTTATTTTGAATTCAAGTTAAAATTTAATCAAAAGGTTTAAATAATGCATTAACCATGCAATATTATAACATACAGCAATAGAAAAGATGAAGTTTTTACACCCAGAAATGTTTGTTAAAATGTTTAATATTAGATATTTTATTAAACTAATTGATGTGGTTTAAAGATAAACAAATAATTATATCATTGAAAAGAAAAATTATATTTTTTGCATTAAAACAAATATTCCAGAATATAAAAATTGTGAAGATATTATAAAAGTATAATCATGAAATAACTGTTAAATAGCACAGAAAACTCATATTTAAATTAAATCATAAAAATAAGAGTTCAGTTGATCATAAAATTATGCAGCTAAGAATCAAGTATAAATAAATAAATATTTAATTTAGATATTTATCTGTCAAGGAAAATTCACAAATATAATGTTTGACATGTTTCTCTTTTCAGGATCTCCTGATTGTCCAAGTAATGTAACTCTGAGTGTTTCAAGTAGCTCATCATTATTAGTGCATTTTGATGAACCACTCAACCACAATGGTGCAGTAGTGACCAGTTACAAAGGTCAGTACATAAAAAATACTCTTTTGTTCTGTTGTAATATTATAACTGCAAATTTTTCTAGTATTTTAAGAGAAGTCACTATTATTTAAAAATACAAGTTAAAAACTTGAATATACAAAATGAAATTTGTATAAAACAATTTTAATATATTTAAATGTTTTAAATAAATTTTGTAAATTTCAATTAAAATATAAGTGACCATTATAATAATTTTTGTGAAATTTCCTCTTGAAACATAAGACCAATTAATACTAAAATGTGTAATCATTTTATGAAATAAATAAGAGCTTTTTGTATAGTCAACAAGTAATAAAGGATTGAATTCACTAGTCATAATAGTCAGCAAAACTAGTTTGCTAACCGTGATTCTATAGCAAAGCATTCTCTTTTGTCTTTTAATAAAAGACTTCAGTTCTTAATAAGCCGTTGGATTATATTTGAAACAAATTTTATTATTGTTGGAATGACTTTAAATTTTGATAAATTTCTTTGTCTTGATATCTTAAATATTCCTCTTTTTTTACATCTTTATTTATATGATTCCTAATATCTGTAATTAAAAAAAATACTCCAGGGGAAAATAATTTACATCCATTAATAAACATGAGTTATTTAGGTTAACCATTTTGCCATATAGTTCATCCTTGAGATCATTTATTTTACCATGTCCTTTATATTCTTAATAGAAATTATTGAAAATAAAATTTATAACTGATTAAAAAATGAGACAAAATTATTAAATTCTAAGCACTTATAATTTTATATTTACTCAAAATTCAATTGCAACTAAATTGACAAAATCCTCTCCACTAATATTGACTTTTACAAAGCTTGAATACTTGTATGCTATAAAATCTGATGCCAAATTTAATCAAGTATTTAACAATTTAGTTTAATTAAGGGACACATATTTCCCAGTCATTTTATTTTTGTCAAGTAAATAACTAATGACTTTAAATCAGATTTTGAGTGATACAGAAAATTCAACAAGGATTTTTCTAAGAAATCTATTATGCTGAAACAATATAATGTCTACATGACAACAATACCAAAGACTATTATTTTTTTCATTTACAATAATCTTTTATCAAGTTGTGATTTAGGCATTTGTCAAAACTATTTTTTATGTTCTATGCACTTAATTCTTTCCTCAATAAAATAATAATAATAACGAATAAATTAGAAAATTAGAAAAAAAACAATTATTTATGTAAAAGGAAATTATTTTATTTTAAAAGGAATGAAAAATGAAATCTGTTCGAATTTTTAAAATAAAAATAAAATTAAATAATTTATAAATTCTAAAAATGATAGCACATTATGTCCAGAGTAGAAAAATTATTTAATTAATATTTGGTGTTACATCCAATAAATATTCAACATATGCTTACAAATATTATATGCATGTAGATTTTATTAATAATTTTTTTCTTATTTATTACCCTTTTAGTTGAATGGAGTAAATCTAGTGACTTTCTTACATTAGAAGGAGAATCTACTATGGAGGAATTGAACAATTTACAGTATGAAATTACAAACCTTGACAAAGATAGTTTATATTATGTACAAGTATGTGCTCGTAATATGAAAGGTTATGGAGCTTATTCTGCCACAAACCCATCATGTGCCCAGCCTTCAAGTAAGTATAATAAATTCAACTTTTCTCAAAGAAATGTTACGTCTTTGGTTATATCTTTACATTTATTCAAAATGTTCAGTTTTCAATTTATTTGTGAATATGGATTTACACACTCACTTCTCTCTTTAGTTACAATTGGCATAAAACAGTAACATAAATTTTTACACATTCCTAAATACAGTGGTACCTTGACTTATGAGTGTTCCAACTAACAAGCTGTTTCTCAGCAGAGTTTTTGCTTTGAGTTGAGAGTTAAATTTCAGGTTACAAGCCAGCTTCAGATACCCCACTGCTAGTTGGCACAATGAACATCACAACATTTGCCCACACCCCAGGTTTTGCTCATTCATTTTAAGCAGTTTGCTCACAGTGGAAGCATCAGTGTTGTACTTGCACTTGTGCTTGCAGAAAACTTTTGCAAAACTTCATTTTTCCAACTGTGGGTTCAAAGAAAGTGAGTCTACAGTACTGAGAAAAAGATGATGTGCCTTGAATTAAAGAAAGAAATTATTGAAAAACATGACCAAGATATGCAATATGAGTGTAGCACTTCTATAACCTGCACTATACTGAAGCAGAAGGAATCAATAAATGCTATAATGCCAGCCAAGGGAATTAAAATAATTTCTAAACTGCGGATATCCATCCATGAATATATGGAGAAGCTGTTGATTGTGTGGTTGAGAGAGAAGCAACTCACAGGAGATACCATGATGGAAGTTATAATCTGTGAGAAGGCACAAGCTATTTATGCTGATTGCTGGTTCAAGAATTTTAAAAAGAGCACCAGCATTTACTCTGTTGTCAAGCATGGTGAAGTAGCAAGTGCAGCTGAGGATTACCTCAAAATTTTTGCTGGAATTATAGCAGCCAAGGATACATCTCCCACTAAGTCTTCAAATGTAACAAGACAGAACTTTTTTGGAAGAAGATGCCAAGGAGGACTTATATAATGGAAGAGGTGAAAAGGATACCAGGCCACAAACCCATAAACATAGGCTAACCCTTACAATGTGTGCCAATGTGAGTGGCGACTGTAAGATTAAGCCACTGCTCATTTATCATTCAGAAAACCCCATTGTCTTTGTCACATAAGATTCTGAAAGAAAAACTGCAGGTTAAGTGGAGGGCAAACCCAAGGGCATGGGTCACAAGGCAGTTCTTTGTCAAGTGGGTGAATTTGGTATTTGGTCTACATGCTATGAAATATCTCCAGGAAAATAACCTACTTCTGCAAGCCCTTCTTGTCCTGGACAATGCACCTGCTCACCCACCTAACCTGTAATATTATTTGATTTTTTTTAATGAAAATAAAGTTATATTTCATTTTCTTTAAAGAACAATGTCTACTTAATTACTTTATACAACTGCTACTATTATTTCATGTATCTTTTTTGCCTTTTAGTTACCAAATAAACCATTTTTTACATATATTTATGCATAAATAAGTTATGATTTTACTGCAATCAAATATGCATTGCACTTAACCCTAGCTTTCAATAAGCAACTTTTGTTGAAAGTTTAAGATGCAAATTGGATTGAAGTTTAATTCAGTTTTTAAATTTGTCTTCATTTGTGATTAAAAAGTAACCATGTAATATCTGGATAATCATAATTTTTGGTTGCCCTTTTTTCTTATTTCTTTATTCTTTTCTTGATTCCAGGTTGGCATGATGTTAATGGTATTATACCACGATCAAAAGGAAAATTAAATGCGCTTGAAGATTTGTTTTCACAAGTTCGTCAATCACGGCCTGTTGATGCACCTGCTATTAAAGGTAATTATTATTTCATTTCAAACTTTACAATTTAAGTACAACTAATTACATACAGGAAAACTTTATTTTCAAGTTTCATATTTTTTCTCATGGCAATCACAGACTAAAACTAAAAAAATATCTTCATGGATAAGTAAGAAGTAAAAAGTTTAATCTTAAAGAAATTTAAATTTAAGACATTTGAAATTAAAATAACTGTAATCATCCCAATTTATGTCTGAAAAAAAATCTATTCCAGAACCTTCTGGTGAATCTCCAGTTCAAAGAAAAAGAAAAAGCTTGAAAAATCTATTTTCACTCTCACCAAAATTTCAAAAATCTCTCCAAAGGTATTTATGCATTTTTATTTTTTTTTACAATTTTTACTGTTCTAAAATTTTTGTACTTTTTTTAATTCAATTTAACAAACCTAAACATTTCTCAAATTCATTTTGCATAGGTTATCAACACTATGCTACTTTTCCATTTAGTCACCATGAAGATTGACTCATTTGACCAAACAGGAGCTACCATTACACTTCTGCAACAACAGCCTCATCTGTGTGTAACTGCTTCCCAGAAAAATATTGTTTGAGGAGCCCAAATAGATGATAATCTAAAGGAACTAATTCAGGATGATGGATGCATCCTAACCATATTCCTGTGGGCACCCTTCTGTTAGTATGGTTATGCAAGTTGGTGCTTTCATGACAGGGTAGAGGCCCTTATATAAACATCCTGTTCACTTTCAATGAACGGCTTCCCTCAGTCTGCTCATTCTTTTACAATATCTACCTGACCATGCAGTATGAAGTCTATACATTTAGCAGCCTAAAAGACAGTTGCCATCAATACTGACTGCTAAACTATGAATTTGGAGAAAAAGTTGGTGACAATGAATGCTTCCAGGTCATGTAATTAATGTTTGTCTTCTGAATAATGTGATGCATCCATGTCTCATCACCAATGATCATATATTCCAGAAAGCCACCTTTTTCTTCTCCATGCCATTCCAAAAGATAGAAAGAAATGCCCATGCACTGGAAATTGAGTCAGTAGCTTTGGGATCAGGGATGACATCTTCCAATATCCAAACCTGTGCAATTTCATGGACCACTGATTTCAGAAAATCAAATTCCACAGCTACACCATGAAGTTTTCACCATTCAATATTACAGCTGTTCTGGTGGCTGTAACAATAAGTATTGTATACTCCCTGTTGGTTTTATGCTTACAGCTTTCACAATTTCTGTCTGAATTTCTGGGATGAGAAGTTATCATTATTTATCTTTAGACTAAGATGAGGACATTAGTCCAAATGTAAATAATATAAGCTTTCACAATGTTTTAATTCCAGTTGATTTATATCTATCTCTACCTTACTTTTTAGACATCCTTCATTTTTATTTTACAAAAGATTATCAACTACTTTTCTTTTTTGGCATTATTTGGATACAAATATATTTTAATTATTTTAATAATTGCTACTTTAAATATATTTTCATTTCTCAGAGGAGTATATCTGTCCTGCTTACTTCATCACAAAGACAAAATTCTGATAACCCAAGAAGACCAATTACCTGTTGTTGAAGTAGATGAAAATTTCTCAAGTACTTCAATCCATTCAGATTTCTATTGGCTCATGAAGGTAAATAACAACTTCTTATTGTAAGAAAATACATCCACAAAGGATATAGCAAAAATATTTACATTCAACCTGTGAAAGTAAAACTCATGAGAAACTGGTTACATTGTGTTCATCCCTTTGATAAAAAAAATAGGAAAAGAAAACACTGACCAAAGCTTTGCCAAGGATTTAACTCCATATCAGCAATTAGAAATAACAATGTTCAAGATGTTATATATATATAAATACACAATAGGATAAAAATTGACAAAATATTCAGATACTGCCAAATTGCATGTTTACTTTCTATTCTTTCTAAAATAATATCTATAATGTTTATAAAATAAATAAGTGCTAATAAAATTCTCTATTTTACTAGAGGAACCAGATTGAAATATTTGTTTCCAGAATAAATTTAATCCAAAGTTCTGAATAGATAATTCCCTAACTGTGATATTCAAATGCTAAAGAGATTAAATCTATTCTCATCTATAATTATTGATTTTTGTAGAAACAAAAAACACAAGCTGCTCACAAACACAAAGCATATACAATTTGGGTTTTGTTTCTACATATTATCATGTTTCCACATAACATCATATAATATAAACTCATGAATATTATATGTTTCTGAGATACACTGAACTTCAAACAATACAAAATGAGATGCATTTATCTTTTTATGAAATTCATTTGAGAATATAATTATTTTCCATTGTTGATAGCTCCTCTTTTGAAGCTTATGCAATGCTCTACATACACTATCTTTCAATGATCCTAGCTTTTCAAAGTTTTCAAATACTGGTAGTTGGTCTCTCATCTGTCTTGCATTTTGAAGCATCATAACCAAGGGTTACCCACTTGTGAGCATTATTTGAAAGAACAAATCATTAGACTTAAAATGCTTTAGCCACTTTGGGACTATATGTTCACTTATTATTTCCTTTACTTCCATTTCCTGAATTCTGCAAGCAGGTTCATTTGATTTGTTCAAAAGTTTTAATATTGCCAGAACTTCAGGATTTGTACTGTCCATTAGAGCTTCTGAGACAAAAGATACAGCTGAATAGCGGTGGTAGTGGAGGAGTTAGAATCATCAGACATGTACATGAAATAAGCTTTGGGATAAAGGTTTATAAAAGAAAATACTTGATACATCCTAATAGTTTCTATAAAAGTTATTCAAAAAGCAATATCTTTGCACTTTTAAATTTTCAAATATTTAGAGAATAAGTGTCCAGTATTGCTTTTGACTAATAAGTAAAAGTAATCACAAACAAAATTATTTGATAGATTATAATAGATTATCAAAAACATTGAGTAGCCTAAAAATATTTTTTACATGCAAAACTTGTCTGTCTAGAAAAATACAGGGTGAGGCAGAAAGGTTGCCCTGATTTCAAAGGTTAATAAAAAAAAAATCACATGATTATAAGAGAAAAAACTTTGCTCTCCACTCCAGGCCATGGTGGGGTATTACCAGTAACTGAAAATAAATAGCATTTAATATACTTCATAAAGATACAAAGTTTTTTTTTTATTTTATCTTTATATGTTTGTTTTTATTAACCTTTAACATTAAAAGCTATAAAGATACTCAAGAAGATTGACTGAAAATGTCTATAAAATGTGAATAAAGTGTTCCTAGTCATCTTTACATACCAGATTTTTATACTATTAAATAAATTGCTTTAGAAATAAGAATATTGTCACAATAAATCAATAAAACTAAGTACATTTCACACTTTTGTTTTTTTATTATGAACAATGGATATCTAAATTATTTTCAAAATATCAATTTCTTTGAAATCCTTCAAATCTTTTAACAGATTGCTTGTACATGGACTGATGTGAAACCTTTACGGCAAGATATGTATAAAAGTACAAGTGCTGGCTCCACACATTTTAGAGGTAAACTACTTCAAGCTGCTGCTCTCTTGCAGGTAAATTAAACAAATGTTTAATATGCAGTATTTTCATCTCACCATTTGGTTAAAATATTCTACTTTGAAACTTGGTTCATCCATATTAACCTTTAATCTTCAAGATAAATCTGCAATTTCAACTAGAAATCTATTTTACATTACTATCAGATTCTGCATGCATTTTTAATTTTTCAAGATCCTTTATAATTTCATGATCTCTTAAATTTTAGTTTAGAAACCTGTTTTAATCCAGTAATTTTTTAAATTTCAGTTCTAAGCAGACTAACACTAATCATTACTAATTTTATTTAGAACTAATTAAAATTAAAGTGTGATATAAATACATAATTATACTTTTTTAGTTAGATCTTGTCAAATCATATTAGTTAATCAAAACAGAAATATCAATATTTAAAAATGACTAGAATTCAATTAGCAATATAAAATTATCATGTTCATTTTTTTTGATTGGCTTTAATCCTCTTCATATAGAAAAAAACCCATTGGCACACTAAATACAGACATCTATGACAGACTTGAATATAAGAAACTTGTTACTGAAACTATTTTGTCTGTTATAATTTTTTTCAAAATCTCTGTACCTAAAAATGTATTTATTTATGAAATGAATTAACCTGGTTTATTTACACTGTTTACATCTGGACCATTGTCTTCATCTTTGTTTTTGTTATTACAACGTTTTGGCTACTATACTCTGGTATATCAATCCAGGTAACCTACAGGGAATCCCAAAATTAACCCTTAAATTTATAGGGTAGACTGCCCATGTCTAGGGATATCTTGTCTAGTTCTTATTTTTTGTACTGCTCAATTACTGCTCACCCTGTTTCCATTAATTCCAAGTACAAGTATGTTACCTGGATTGATATACATTTATGACATTTCTGAGAAAACTAAGACACCATCCACAAATATATAAAAAGATGTCAATAAACTTAGTTACCAAATGGTAACTAGGTTTATTGACAACATTAGAGTGGATACAAAGTTAAATTTGGGAATTACAGGGCTTAGTGTATAATTGTTATGAGGTATATCTTTTTTTAACTAAGTCCTTGTAAATTAGTTTCTCTTGCAAATGATGTTTTTCCTAGGGGTTCAGAAATATTTTAGTTGTTTTGTTTAAAAGTTAAATACTTTGTTTTTTGTTTTTTTTTAACTCTTGTTTTGGTAATTTTTTATGCTACCTACTTCACTAGTATACTTGTCTTTCTAGTGGGTTAACCAGGAAAAATAGATTCAAAGGAAGCACTTTACTATTTTTATGTCTCTAGTCACATTATCATTAGACACTTTCAGAAAGTTAATTAATACAAATTAATTTTTACTTTTTAGAGAAGAAAGTTACTACAGCTTAATGATGAAACAATTACTAACCAAAAACAAAGTGAATGAGTCATTTTTTCATATTACTTACAATATTTATTTAGTTTACATTTCTTCTTCATATATCTAGCTTTTTTTCTTTTTTAGAGTGCCTTGGGATTAAATGACCTTGGCCAGTTGTATCATAAGCCATTACGTGATACTAATGGCAGTATAGTGCTGGTGTGCATCAAAGAAATCACAGATCCAAAGTTCTTGGCACTTGGCTCTGGCAAATGGGTGTCCCAAGCTAAACTTCAAAGACGAATGCCAGTTACTGACCAAGAACACAGTGAAGCTCATGACCTTCTGCTTAATACAGCTGCTGTAAGTATTATCAATAAATATAGAGAACAATCAACTCTTCTGTTCTTATAGTCTACCCTAATTCTAACCCTCATTGCACAAAAAAAAGGCTAGGGGGGTTTTACATACTTCCTTTTCATCCCCAATTTTTATTCTAGTCTTTAAATCTTTTACAATTTTTTTTTCCTTGTAGCAAATATATGCCTTTATGATTTTCGCTAATGCATTCTCACTTTCTAATGTATATAGGATAATTGTAAAATTGTGATATGTAACTGGTAATGGCAATATTTCTACTTCCTGAGGACATAATATTTGTCTCTTTCTTAAACTGTAAGATTTCAGTTCAAAATAATTTTATAAGTCAAGAAAATTTTAAATATTGTTTTTAATTATTATCAGTTCTATTTAGGAGATGTATTTTCATTGATATTTACTAAACCTGTCAAAAAGGCTTTGCTTTTAAATACTTTGCTTTTATTTCTTCTTTTAGGAGATGATTCTGTACAACGAAAGGAGCACTGCTCCTGTCCAACGAGGTCTCTATCTTGGTTACTTAAAGATGGTTAGCTCTGTTGAACTTATTAATGTGTTGACACCCCATAATGCACCAAATGTGTTCCCACATGTTAGAATTCGAGATTGTCCAAATGTGTCCAAGTAAGCAGTTTTTCTTTTTTTAACTCTAAACAAGATAAAATTTCAAAGATGTAAGAAATTAAAATCCCAATTTTTTTTGGCTTTTTTAAATTTCTTGATATTGTTCATTTTGTTTTTTCATTTGCAGAGATGAATGGCAGTGGCTTCAAAACTTTGGTCATTGTGATACGACTTCGCTTTTTCCAACACCAACACAAAGAGACTTCCATCACATGTTGAACAAAGCCATTAGACAACTAATTGACTTAATGGGTAATCAAAAAATTTAACTTTACTACAGAAAAAGATAAAATACCGCCAATGCTTAAATCTTATTTTTATTCAAGCAAAGTAAATAATGATTGTCATGTATTTGAAATTTATTTAAACATTTATTTATTTTTATTGATAGTTACAATTTTGAGAAAATTTAAATGTATCATGAAAAATACATGCAAGATTTTATATGACTGTGCCTCACTTTTCAAATTTATTTCTGGTTCATTTTCTATCTGTATACAGTCAAAAAAATAAAAAAAGATTAAGTGTTATTTCCAAATCAGCTCATTTAATGGTGTAAAATCTGACACAAAGATGATTAGAAACACTTAATTCACATTTTAGAGTCATTTTAATTCAGTTTCCTTGAACATCTTTTACACTTATATATGGAATGTCTAAGAATGTAAAATTTCAAATTGTCATTTAATTTTTCAGTATTAGATTAACTAAGAATTGATAAGTAAAAAGTTATTAATTACAATAATTAATAATTTGATTTGTAAATATGAAATGATTTCATTCTACTTTTTAACTTTAGGACTAACATGTGAATTTGATAATCACCGACTATATGATGTGGAAGTCATTGAAATGAGCAAAGATGTATCATTCTTATTATTACTACCTCCTGTTGAAGATGTATGCATTGTACCTGGAAGAGAAACTGATCCAGTTACTAAACACAATGACCTTTGTGCATTGCCAGTTCAAGTATTTGAAATTAGTAAGTACTTCTCTCCTAATATTTTAAGAATTATTTTACTTAGATAATGCATGTATTTATTTTTTGTCAAGGTTTAAAGCACAAGTTAGCTTAATGGTTATTATTATAGAAAATGGTTTGAGGCAAACCAAGATCAAATTCTGGTTGAAGTTGTTTACCAATTCCCTTTAAAAAAGACATGAACTCACCTATCATCATATTCTGTCCCAACACTAGATACAATTAATAGTTATTTTTGTCAAGGTAAGAAGATAGAATGCATTTGGGGTGAACAAAAGAGACAGTGCCTAAGATGTGGCTTGAATATATCATGAAGTATGAAAATTGAACTATATTGATAGTGAAAGATACATTTTCAGAAACTGAGTAAAGTAGTAAGAGATAGAAAAATAATGTTAGGAATGAAGAAAAAATACTGGGCTGCTACATAATGCTTGCCTTCCTATATGACAGTGTAAGCAATACAGTTTTGTCACAAAAAGAAAAGAAAGATGTGCTTTTATTAATGAACCTGGAGAAAACATGTTAGAAAGAATGAAATTATAACTATAAAAAACAGCCGATAAAACAAACTGAAATTTGGGTGACAAATAATGAGAGAAGAAGAGTTGGAGAATTTAACAGTCACAGGATGTATGAAAGCAGAGAGTAACAAAGTTGACAAATTTGAGCAATTAGATAAAGACAAAGAGAACAAGAAAAGACATAAAAATATGAAAAATCATTCCTGACATCCTGAAGGGACCTGGTACAGTGTGAAAGATAGTGAATTAAATGCTATGTTCATTGACAAAGTCAAGGATTCTTTTCTGTAGCTAGTATTCAATCATCCATTATTATCTAGCCATGACCAAGTAAGTCCACTTGCCCTTTGAGGTACAATGAAGGTTTAAAATATGGCATAGCATCCCATAAACTAATAAGTAAAATCATGTCACTTTCTTCATGACTCCTTTCAACATGCATCTTCATCTTAGTTGTTTTTATCTTAACATTTTGGATACTGTACTCTAAGGCCTTCCTAAAGTATCTGTCACATTTTGTAACTTCTAGAGAATGTTGTACAGAACCCTTTATCTCATTCATAGGCTATCTTGTTGACTACAATGTTAAATAAAACTCATTCATAGCAACTAATACTTATCAAAAATGATTAGTAGAAAAGACACCTGCTGAAGAAATAACTCCAAACAGAACACCAAATTCCACCAGAAGACATTTGGAGAGAAAGAACCAAAACCTGACAACAGTCTTTTTGCTTTTAATTAGAGACCTGTTTAAAATAAAAAAAAATAAAAAACAGAGAAAAATATGAACAAAAATATGGCATCCAATATACATTTCAGCTGGAGCAGAAAATAAAGGGGTGAAACTAGCCACTTTCTGAAAGTTTGAGGAACATTAAAAAGCCTTAATCCATGGAAAGTATATGAAGTCAGGATTAACATATAGATTAAGAAAGGAGCAGATCATAAAATGAAATCAAAATAATAGACAATATTGGAAAATTAGGCACTCAAAAGAAGCCATTATTTGAAGGTTCAATTGGTAAACCTAATATGCACACACATACACACATCAATTGCAAGCCACCTCTACCGCCCGGTCAACACTCCTCCCCCTTCTCTTGGACATTAGTAGAGGCTTACGCCTTGTTTCTTGTTTAGGAAGGGGTTTCCAGTACTCTCTCCCTCTCTCTCACTGGACTCTGTATCTCCAGTTGCCTTGATCTATCCACTACTCTTCTCCTCATCCTTTCTTCTATCACTCCTATCTGATATTGCTCCAAATTTTCTGTAACCCTTGCATCCTAGTGGCTTTCTGCTTTGCTTGGGGTGAAATGCTTAAAAAAAAAAAAAAAAATTAGACAAAACCAAAAGAAAAGGTTTAAGGCTCTTGTATTCAACTACCTGAGTGGATAAAATTTTAATTCCCTGTTTGTCAGGAGTTCAATCTCTGGATCAATTTGTGCAAATGTACATCAGCTCAGGGTAAAAAATAGAAATATCACAAATGCAAGATGATAATAATTAGGTTTTAAATTATCTAGATGTATTTTCCATGATTATTTTAAGATTAAAAATTAATTTGCAAAGGTGATAAAGTTTCTGCATTAACTTTTTTTTTTTTTTTATTAAATAAATGGCATTTGATGTTCCACATATGATATTCACACATACTTAATCCCAATGACTTCTTGGTGTGTTTTTCCCTCTTTTAACTACTAATGCTAAATTGATTTTATTAAAATATATTTAGTTACTTTTCCCCCAAATGAAAAATTTTAAATATTTTCAAAATTCTAGTCTTTATTTCTAATTTCTTTTATTTATTCTTATTATTTTACAGATCATATGACTACTTACCAACCTGAGTTGATAAGTCTTTATTCTCGTCTTTCTTCAATATTGGAAAATGATTTGGAACTGGCACAACAGGCACAAAGAGAGGTAATTCTAAAATCTAAATTCAAACTTCAAATGTACATTTGCAAAGCCTTAATCTCTTTTCTATTTAAAGGTTTTTCTTTCTTTTATTTGGAAAAAACTGAAAGTAATTCTAAAAATAAAATAAATATTAAAATATCTGTCGATATTTCTGAGATAAGGTATTGTAATTATTTACACTATTTACATTGTTCAGACTGTTGTCCTCATCTCTTGTTATATTCACAATGTTTTGGTCAATGTATGCTCCGGACTGCTTTAAGTTATTGGAATCTCAAACTGAACTCATCCACAGGGTAGATTGTTCACATGCCATGCCTCTTCAGGATGTCTCAGTTATCTCCCTTTTAACTCAACTCTCCAAGTTTTTGTTCAAACCACTGCAGTAGCCAGGTATTGAACTCACAATTTTTTGGGTCAAGTCACTGGATCCAACCAATGCTTGTGAATATGGCAACAAAGATGAAAACAATTGACCAAACAATGTAAATTGTGTAAATTAAAATATTTAAAAATTAATTTTCTTAAATCAGATATTTAAGTACTCATAGTTTGTATTCACATTAATGCAAAATCCAACAGAAGGTCAGTAATATAAATGTGAATTGTTATTCATAATTCTGATGTGATGTATAGCATAACAATTAACTTCTTGAGCTTTACAAATGTTAGCACAACTTAAATTTACCAGTCTTGTAAAAAAAAAAAAAATACGGGGGATAATTATTGTAGTTAATATTCATTAGACATTCTACCCACAAAATTTGTCAAAATTGAAAAATATTGATTTTTTTTCCATTATTTTATGAATGTGGTCTTATCCATAATAGTGTCAAATCAAGCCCTGACTTAAGAGTTATCTGTACTATATTTTTACATACAAAGTTTGAAACTGTACTTACATCATTGATAACTGTGTATTACTGATATTGTCCCCTTTTCTCAATTCATAGTACTATGCAATTATCAATGATGTATGCACAAAGTTGATATTTTAAAATAAAAATAAAATACAGAAGCCGGAGATCAATTTGGCATTGTATTTATACTATGAACAGGACCCCCCCAATTTCTAAAATGATAAAAATACAATATTTTTCAATTCTAACAAATGTTTTGAGTAGAGGAAAATCTAATGAAAGCTAATTTCCAATAATTTTTTTCCAAAAAATTGATCCCTGTTTTTTTTTGTTTTGTTTTAAAACAAGCAGACCAGTTAGTGACAAAATGTGGGCTTTACTAAATGTGGAATGCAATGTGGAAATATTTTCTTGGAAAATGCATTCCTATCACACAGACAACTCCCACTCAGCTTTGAATCAAAAGAGAATGCCAAAATCTTGTTCTTAGTGAAATTCTAAACTGCTCAATTGCTGGTGTTTTTGCAGTACTAATAGTAATAATAATAGTAGCATTAGTAACACAGTGAATGTAATTGGTAACCAGAAAGTTCATTGCTAATAAATATTTGTAATAATGTAACAATATTTTTATAACCATATTTTATATAAATTTATGAAATTGTTAAAAAAAAAATAAAATAAAATAAACATTTAATATGCTTAAAGAATAATTTTAAAATCTACTTACCATTCTAAATTAGTTCCTTTCATAGAAACAGGGTTATATTGAAAATCAGATCTACAAATCATTTTTTTTTTCTTATTAAACGCAACACTTTTTTTGGTATATACTTTTTAATAAAATATTAATCTTTCAATTTTAGGCTTTTTCTTCTCCGGAACTGGTAGCAGCCAAGGAACGAGTTGATATGCTAACTCATCTACAAGCTGAAGTGGAAAAAACTTGGAAGGGAAATCGTTGGATTAGTGACATTATAGCTTTTGCCAGAGACAAAACTAAACGTGATGCTGGGATTCCTTTGAAAACCTTATTGTCTTATTCATGTGGATCCCATAGTTTGGGCAGTACAGACTGTGCACATAATCTCTTCCACAACAATAGTTCATTGCTCAACAATGCATCTTTACTCTGTGATTCCAATTTGATAAGTGTTGGTAAAGATAAGCGAAAACTAGCCAAATTCTATGACCCAATGGAACACAACAAAAATAACAACAACCAAGAGAACATTCTTTTACAGCAGGCATCAGGAAAAACGGATATTGTCAGAGTTTATGCAATGTATGAAACTGGATTGGCCAAGGGCATGAGTGTGCGTTTGTGTGTCACTCAAAACACCACAGCTAGAGAAGTTATAAATCTTGTAATACAAGAACTGAACAAAGAAGTCCAAAATAAAAATTTAGATGGTCCAATTTATTCACAGAAACAATTCAATAGTTTTTGTTTAGTGGTTTGTGTAGGGACCAGAGAAAAACTATTACAAGATGAAAGTCGACTAATGAGTTTACAGGGCCTATGGCGAAAAGGTCGTTTTTATGTACAAATGAAAGCTGATGTGCTACCAGCAGCAATTGAGAAGGCACAAGCAACAGCTGTATGACTTGATATAGATTTTGGAAATAGTTAACTTCTCATCATTGTACAAAGTTATAATTTATTTAAAGTGACTACAAAAAGAATGATTGAATAGTTTGGAAATTCATTAAGGAATTTAAATATATATAAATGACCAGAATTAGAATGATAATAATAATAATAATATATATGTATAAAAGCTATTCAAAAGAAAAATTTATAGAAAAAAAAAGTCCCTGATTTTAGTTATTTTGGTTTATGCTATAATTAAGCTATTTTGTGTTTAAAGTTAAACACTCATTAAGTGAAAATGATTATATTCATCCAATTTATTATAAATTGGGCATGACAAACTTTTCTTTTAGTTGTTAACATTAAAATAACAATCTAGTAATTTTCTTATGATAAACAAATTCATTACTTTAACAACCAAAATCATAGAAGAAAATCAATTATTTATGGCATTCTTTCTACTTGCAATGCTATTTGTTAAAATTTTCATTTTCTAGAATTTATCAGTCTGATTATATTTGCTACATAATATATATAATTTTAACATGCACAGAATAGGAAAGACTTGCCTAAGATTTGAATAGTCCTGCAAAACTTAACATAACAGGTTTCCAAAGAATGCCAATATATTCATTTCATTAAATATAAATATGAAATCCTCATTTTCAATAATTTATTTTGTCATGGTTTTTAATAAATAATAACCCCCAATGCCTTCAAGGCATGTTCATAAATTATATTTTTTTATAAAAACACTAAAAAGGACTTTCACATTTTATAAATGTTAAACAATTTTAGAATATTCTTGAAAGAATTGTTTTAAAAATTAACTATTTAATAAACTTTAATTAATTTGTACAAATGTTCAAAAAATAAAAATCCAATTTTTACAAATGTTTCATAAAATTTGTAATTGAGGTTTTGAAAAATATTGTCATCTCATTTTGGGGGTTATTAGAGAATTTTCTAAAATAACTGACAAATAAATTGCATGAGAAAATTATTTTAAAAACTCAACCTATTTACTTGCTATAAATGCATGATTGGCTGTGATATGACACTGCTATATTTTGAGATGATATTGTGTAAAATCTAATGTTGTAATTTTGAAATAAAACTGATACCTGAAAAAATAAATGACTGGGATTTATAAATTTGGTTTAATACATAAATTCAATTTTTAAAAAAAGTTGTCTTTGTAAAGAAAAAACATGATTGCCTTTATTCAAATGTATTTCTTTAAAAACATTATTTAATTGATGAATTTAAATAGATAAAATTGAATTCACTAAAAATTTTATTTTCAAACTTCAAAAGACTGATGATGAAAATTTCAGTTTTCTTTTTTTAAAATACTTTTTTCAGCAAATTCTGACATAAATTCAATGTTTGAAATACAACCACAAACACTGCTCTTTCATTTGGTATGATTCCATATTTTTAAAATGAATGAAAAATTATTTTAGAGTAAACCTATCATTAGTTTTCATTATGTAAATATAGCCTCCTTTGCGTAACTTTTAGGATATAATAATTGTAAACCTTCCACAAAAACAATGTCTTCTTTGTCCAGGCTAAGTTTATTATCAATCATCATCTCCATATTATTTTCTCTTCATTATCCTCATAATTTGTTTATAATAAATAAATAAATTTAAAAATTTTTTCTCTGAGCTTATTCAAAATATAAAAAGAAAAATCAAACAATCTGCTTTCAAATGTTAAAATCATTTATTATAATATACAACATACAGACTCCTGGGGATAATTAGGATTGGGAATTAATTTCATTTGCTTTATTATTTACAATTGTTTGAAATCATTTTTTTTATTGAGAAACTCTTCAGGTGTCACTTCCTCAATTTGAAACTGAGAATATCAAATTTGGAACCCAAAAGTGATTGAAGCATTGGAACCCAAAAGTAGTTATGCTTGAAGAGTCAATCTTAGATTTTGAGAACTGAAACTCAGAAATTTAAACTTAAAATCATTAATAAAATGATATATTCCTACTATTATAAATAATCACTTGGATGGGAAATTAGTTCCCCGAATTGTTGTCCTGTGCAATACACGTAAACCCACCTCAGAAACTGGCAACTGAGTTTCAGGAGTAGCCTCATGACCCAAAGCCAGATTGTCTGACAAGATGAAATCACCAGTTTGCCACTGAAAAAAAAACAAAATTAAAATCTGGAAAGAAATATAGCATTGAAGAGAAAGAGAATATTGCATGCACACACATTTTCTATATTAATCTGATTTTTCCAATTAATAGATTCATGCAACAAATGAAGATAACTAGAAAAACAGTTTTGATAACATTCATTTCAAAAATAAGAAAAAAATGCTTATGAATTTTCAGTAAAACTGGAAGCAAAAATAAATTACAAGCAAAGTTTTCCTTTAATTTACTTCATAAGATAGCATCAAGATGGAAATATATATTCTGGAAAATTTCATTTTGATGAAACATCAGTTACAACTAGAACCTAAAAATGGAATAAGAAGAGGAAAATAAAGATGAGGCAACTGTAAATCATGAAAAGAAAAGAGAGCATGCAAATACAGATGAAATGGTACTTTTCTTAAAATAAAATTTGTAGTAGCATTGAATTATTTAAAGCAAAGCAATTTGCTCATTTAACAAGTTATAAAAATAGTCTAGTGACATTATGAGATAAAAATCATAATATACAATTATAATATATGTTTAGCAGTAATATAAATCTTATCTATAAAATTCCTGACCGAACTAATCATACTTCGTAATATATGACGAATTTCTGCTTTTAGTAATTACTATCCACAACCGTGGATAAATAGAATCTGATAATGTATCTTGTGCTAAACACAGGCACATTACTTTTACTGCCATCAAGACCATATATAATTTATAAAGATTTTGACGGTCATCTTTTTGACAGTTTGAATTGATGATTGATATAATATTGTTTTTTTAATGCAGGTAAGCAGAAAAGCATTTATGTCTAAAATAATTCTTTTAATTATTATTTCATAATAAGCATTGTCAACCAAGATATAACTCACAGTGCTTTTCACTACCAGGGGGGGATATAGTGTTAACAAAAATTTACTTATTTAAATTCACTCATGTGGAAAATGGTGGTTATGTTATTGGAACAAACCCATACCAGTGGAAAACATGGACATCATAAAACAGTAGAACTGGTTTGCAACAAGATCTGTGTATGTCATGCTACACTAAAATTAATGTTTCATTGTAATTCTTGAGAAATTAGAACACCCTTGCAAGGATACCAGCATCAGCAGCAGCTTTGTACAACACCCTGCTGAAAGGCTGAATCTGTAGCCTCATGTGATCGCCACATTTAACAGTTTGTCTGAAAGACATAGATACATGACATATCTAACTGGGTGACAGTCTTCCACAGTTCAATAGTAAATGTTCTAAGGCTCAGGTGAGGCAGAGTAATGGTGTCAGTAATAATATCCTTGCTTGATGTGCAATGATTTTAACATTCCATAGAATGCGGTGCATGCTGTACATTGATAGATGGTTTGAGTATGACTAATTTTAAATTGGTTGGGAGGTTATGATCCTTGTCAGCTACTGACAGTCCTGTTCTTGCATCACCTGTGGGCACTCACAGTTTTCAGGTGCTGCTGCTACCTGTCCAGAATTCACATATTCCTGATATGCCATTGCTACTGTTGCCAAAGAAAAACCTAGAACAACTGCCAATTCAAAGATAGGAGGATCCAATCATTTTGGCCTCAACAACTATTCAGTGTTAAATCCTATCTATGTCCCATGATTACCACAGCTACACTACCACTTTATCTATTTTATTACATATACATCATTGGGCAGAGTCCATGTTTACAAGTGGTGGCGGGGTGCAAACTATCTTGTTTACCTCAACCTTTAAGTTTTTGACATTCTAGTTTACTCTTAAATTTTTAACAGAATCCAAATAAATTAACTTTGTAAATGTTTACTTATATTGTATGTTGTTGTCCATCTCTTATGAAATTTATATTAATTACAAAAATATTAAAATGACCAATTTAAACAAGTTTGTTTTCATAGCTGGCATTCTGTACTTGTTTACCGTTGTCAAACCTGTTAGTAACTATACTCTACCAGTATAGCTTAAATGTCCAGTTGATTTTATGTTATGGAAAAAAACATTTCAGGTATTAAAATAAAACAAAATCTGTTACTTTTAAAATTTACATCATTTAATTTCATAAATTTGTTTACTATTTTTTCTATAACTTTTATCAAAACCATAGAGAAATTTACTGACTATGATTTTATAACTAGGATTTGGTAGTTTTCAAATTGGGTTGTGGAAAGGTAAATATGAAAATTTAAACAAATCAACAAGAACAAAATCTGACTGACATAAATTATTGGAAATTAAATCAAAATAAAGAACTATTTTCTATTTTTTTCCACCTTTCAATAAAATTCTAAACTTTTTTGTAATGGATTAATTCTTCTGTTGTGTGTGGGTCAAAGTTTAATTTCTGGTTGTCTTAAAAAAAAAATTTATTGTTCAAAAAGATATTTGAAAAGATTAATTTTAAGACATTAAAAAAAAAGTGTGAATTTTCTTAAAACAATGTTATCAATGTAGACAAAATGCATGTTGTTTCATGAGCTTGGTTTTCTGCAATATCAAATTAACTTTCCAAACTATGCACAAAAGATATAGAAAATATATATACAAATCTATATATATCAGTGTATAAGCAAATTGCAAAATGGAATAAAAAACTTCTTTATGAGAAATTTTATTCAAAGAAGGATTTTTTTTTAGACTAATAAAGCTTTTATCAACAGAATCAGTCATATATATATATATATATATATATATATACACACACATGAGAGAGATAGATAAATAGAGGAAAGAAAAAATACAACTAATGGTGGTTACAGTTTTACATTGAAAACATTAATGATACAGAGATGCTGAGCTTTAAATTTAAATTCTGATTATGTGTACAAGATGTTTGATTTACATAACTGACTTCGCCATACTCCAGCATTACTGGGAAGCTGTGTAAATGCTGCTGGATCATGTGAACTTAGTAAGACCTTTGATTTAGTTCACAATGAAAGAAGAAAAAAATTAATTGGCCTTCCTGGCTGTACTAATAACTCGCACATAGATTGGCTTCAAGACATCTGCATATCACGTCATCATCAAACATATCCTTCAGAATAACAACTATCCTGAAAACATGGCATCATCTTCTGCAACAGAAGTCAAAGAGGAGGACAAGAACTAGGGCTTACTAGAAAAGATTTTTTTAAAAATCTGCAGTTCATAAAATGTCAGAACAATATTCAGAAGCAGCTTATGGAGAAATCTCCGCTGAGTCAAGCATAGCACAAAGGAGAACATAACCAAGAACTGTGTGTATTCCATCCCTTGCAGGTGTGGCAAAAATTTAAATCAGCTACCCACTAAGGCTGAAGGAATAATGAAAAGCTGTAATTATAGGTAAGACAATAAAATCTGGCATGGCTGATCATTTATGGAGGGAAAAGGGTAGACATCAACTTCTGTGGAATGAAGTAAAAATACTACACAGAACACTGGAGAGTCAGACATCTGAAAGAATCAGTGCATATGCTAGGCTATGAGAACCTCCTTATAAGGCCTCCCATAGAAATAAATATGATATGGGAGAAAGGAAACATGACAGCAAGATTTCAGCAGCAGCAGCAGCTACAGTAGAAAAGAGAAGATTTGGTGAGTGCAGTCAAGCATGACAAGCAGCAACACTGATCAGCAGGCAGGTTAAGATTTAAGGTTCCAATTTCTGCATTCAGGAGTGAAAATAGTCTAGTAGATTAAAGCATTAGTTCATGAACATGGTCACATAGTAATTGTGAGTTCAATCTCTGGGCTGTGTGGTGCAGTACCAAATAAGAACTAGATATAGTCAGCAGAATGAGAACAATTTACCCCTTTAGATTAGATAAATGGTTTAGTTTTAAATTCAACAGATCAACAAGCACCTGATAAAGGCTGAACATTGTGATAATATCAACAAAGATGAGGACAATAATCTGCATGTAAATAATGCGAATATTACTTATTTTAGTTTTATTTCAGGTGACAATAAGTTGTAAATGAATAAAAACATTGTTTTCTTGCTTAGTGCTTCTGTGAAACAGGTATTGTCATTTTGAGTCCTACCTTTCTGAAAATTCTTACAGAGGAATTTTTTTTTTTTTTTTTACTAAAGCGAAAAATGATAACATTCTTTCTACCTTAAAAAATTACTTATGTAAATTATAGAAAATTAATTTTTCTTACCTGTATTTACATTGAAACCTATTTTCTTTTCTAATATCATTAGATTATATTATCATGATTATAAATGGCTTATTAAATTTTGATCTCCAAATTCAATAGTAAATTTGTTCTTTCTGAAAGTAGATATGTCATAAGAACTTTCTTATGACAACGTTTTTACTGAATGAAAGAACTTAGTACTGGTATTAGATTGTATATTTATTGTAATTGAAAAAATTATTATAATGAGCATTTATGACATGATGTTGAAGAATATGAATGAAACTAGCAAACCTCATGAACATAGATCAAATTTGGATTAGATTCTATCTCAGCATGGATTTCTGATAGAATCTCTTCAGTTTCTGACCAAGATGTCCATCTTTCATCTTTACTTTGATAATTCCAACAAAATCCTTCAGTCATTCCAAGATGAAAGCACAGAGTCTATGAAAAGATAAAATTTGAAAAAGAGAATTTTTGACATTTTCTCTGAAACTAACAGAAAAATAAAAAATATCTTTATTTATATTGTTTATGTGTATTTGTGCAAAAGTTCCCAGCAATAAAATAGCTTTCAACTCCATTCAATGCTGAGAATTTTTACACATACCTAATAGGCAGAAATTATATAAAAGCCTTTATGTTAGAAAATACATTAAACAAAAAAACAGAATAATTTATTATATTTAATATAGAGAAAGAAAATATTTTCATATAAGTAAAACAAGTAAAAAGAGTGTCAATAAAGAATCAATTTTCACACTTACTGGTTTCTTTGTGGAAGGATGTGGGTAAATAAGAGGATGGATGATCCTGGACTGCCGATCACTCACCATCCACAGTTTTTCCCAACGTTGATGCTTCTCTTCAGAAAGAGCTTCAATGAGTTCTTTTAATGGAATAAATACTTAAAAGAAAATAATTTAGACAAAGAAATAAATTAATCATAGCACTAAAACAAACAAGTGATCAATGGCAAGATATTTAATTTATGAAAATTAAAAACAGTGCCTAACTCAAATGAGTTTATCTTATATTCATTAATATGTAAAGAACAAGATAGATTCTTAGTTTGAATATATCATTTTTCTAGACAAAAGATAAAATTTCTCAAACTTCCATTTTAATTTTAGAAAAAAAAGGTTTTGACAGTTTCTCTGTGCATACTTATAAATAAAAATAAATATAAAAAATAAAACTGTCAAGTATATAGGTGGGAAATGTCCAACTGGTAAAAATCCTCTTATAACATTTCTTATATCAAATTTGATAATTCTAGATAGGTACTCACAAGAATAATAATACAAATTATATTAAATTTCTTTACACAAAATTCTTGACAATTTGAAAGTGATTAATAATACGAAACAATACATACATGTGATTTACATTTTTCTGTTTTCATACTTCCCTTGCTAATGATAAACCATCAGAATGACATAGGAATCAAAATTCCTACTTTCCAATTTATTAATATTTCATTGCAAGTAAAATTGTGCATGACAACCAAGTCTTAAACAATGCATTCCACTAATCAATATTTTGAGTTGAAAATCTTTTTCTTGCAAACAGACCACCATAGAATTTTATCAAAGAATTAGCTCAATGAGCCACATAACAAAATTAAAAATAAGGATTTTAATGAATAGCATTCATAGCAGAAAGGCCAAAATAGGAACAACAGAGAAACAAAAAATAATATTGTTAAGGCACACAATTATGTATTTAATATTAAGGTACAAAAAAGAGAATATTTGTGCAAGATTATTTGTAAAATTTATATTGTTCTTATGCTAGCTAATGTAATAAATGTGTCTTTTTTTTTTTTAACTTGGAGTTTTTTTATTTGTTGCTTTTTGTATATACCTTATTCAATATTCAGGATGAGAGAAGTGACATTTTCTCTTCTTCCCTCTCTCCAAAAAAAATTACTTTAATAAAAGTGTATAGAATAAAAAATATTCTTAAACTATTGCTTATATAAGGTTAAAGATTATTTATTTTTAAACATAAATAACAAATTCTTCATTATTGCACTCCTAGTTTTCCTTATTTCTTTAGGTTTTATTTTAAATTTTTCGCGCGCTTTTTAGGACAGGGGTAGAATTTATAGTTTTCATTTTATCCTTTGACCTCACAAAATAACCATGCGTAAATAAAACGTTATTTTGATTCTGCTTAAAAAGTAAAAAAATAAGTATTACTCTTAGAAAATCCAGTTAATTAATCCTTAGACTTCAAAACACTGAACAAATAGCGATTTTATGCGTGTGGAAAAAATATGTGGTTTTTAAAATGTTTAAAAAGTTTATTTATATGCGGAACTTTTTCTTTTAATTCTGATTAACTTTTAGCTAGAAGTCATTATTTTGAATTAGAACCGAAATTTACATTACTGAGTGAAAAAGCTTTTTCCGTTTGTTTTTTTAGAGATAGTCCCTGTTTGGTTTGCTCGTGAATGAAGGCAGTATTTCAGAAACGATAACAAAGAAAAGACTTTTTTTTTTTTTTACTATTCTTTACCTTTTTTGTAAAAGTTAAAGTGAGTTTTCAATACAATAATTTTGAAGAAGTTATTTTTGCTATATAAACCAAAAAATTTACTAAATTTAAGTTTACTTTAAATGAGATTTTCCTCCTTTATTGAGCGGTGATAAAAATAAAAGACTTTAGTTTTAGAATATAAAAAATGTTATTTAACACATTAAATTTAAAAAGACAATACAACAGAAACAAATATTTCTTCCTTCGAAACTACGCCTTTCTCGGCTCAATCAATTTTATTAATTTCTTTTTACAAATTATTTTTCTTTAATTTTTTAATTTTCTCGTTGCTTAAAACTTAATTTCGAATCCTAAGATGTTATTTCCACCAAGTTTTAGCCTATTAATTCTCCTTCAATCAAAGTATTTTAATTTTAAATGTCATACATTTTGAAACAATAAAACATAACGAAACCGATCCTTGAAAAAAAAAAAAAGTAAAATCTTAATCGAAAGTGAAACCAATGTGTCCTGTTAGTAACATCAACGTGACCTGCTGAACGTAAATTTACGTTTTTAGCAGATAAGATTTACTTAATTTTAAATGTATTTTAATGAAAATAAGGGTGTTTAAAATTTGAGATTTGTTAATTTTGATACAGTTCATAAAAATACAAAAACTGTTTTTTGTATTTTTATTTAATCATAAAATAAAAATGTTTTTAAAAAATGAATTATTATGCGCGTGAACCAATGGTCTCTCTACTTGCAGATCATTTGAGAATGAAATTGATCAAATGGTCTTGTACCAGACTTGATGTCTGGAAATTGTCGATGAAGAACTCGGTATGTTCTGACGCATGAATTAAATCAATATTTTAAATATGATTAACAAAAAGAATTATTAATGTTGATTTGGCAGAGAAAAAAAACTTGATATTTTTAAAAACAGGATAAAAAATAAAAACGAGCGTAAATAATATTTTTCTTCAGTTGTCATAATTAAAAAATGTTAAAATAAAAAAGTAAATAACTAAATAAATAAAATAATTAATCATTTTTTTATCAAGATATTTCAATTTTACGGTATTTTTAAACGCCGTGTATGTGTGTGTGTATTTTTTGTGTGTGTATCTTCATCCAAACCACTTTTTTTATCATCCTCAAGTTGTAAAGTCAAAAAAACTGGGATTTAGTGATTGTAAATGAAATATTTACAATCGCTTTTTAAAATTAAATCAGTTTTACTTTTGACATTTCAAAGCATAACCTTAAGATTTAAGAATATTGTATTTTTGAAGTCGCTTCTTACCTGTTCCACCTTTCTTTGGAGCAGAAGCAATATAATAAAGCGAAAATTTGAAAGGTTTATCCATAAAACTCCCATCAATGTGCCAACCAGTCCTACCAACATTGCGACAACCTTCTTTTTCATCATTTGACACTCTGAAAACATCCAGATGTGGTGATTTTGGGTGGCGATAAAAGGTTGATTCCAGCTCCCCAAACCACCGACTGATTTCGACATGTCTCTTTCCAGTGATAACACCTTGATTTCGGAATAAGAGTAATCTGTGTTCGTGAATATCCTTCTTTATTTGATCGATAATCTCGTCAGGGACAGGTTCATTTAACTTTACTCCTACAACTTCAGCTCCAAGAACTCTTTGTGTCAAACTGTAAGCTTGTTTCGCCATGTTCCTCGTTGTAGTCATATTATGCGATTTTTCTCATGAAAAATTAATCGTTTAAGTGCATTTTGCGCTAACGAAATCACTAACACGATTTTTTTTTTTTTACACGGGTAAGTTAGTCAATATCGTCGTTGATGACGACATTGCCGGTGTTATGAGATGTTAAAATAAATTCAATATTTCCTGTTGCTGCAGCTTTCATGGGATTTTGTATGAAATTTTGACACGAAGCTTTTTTAAAGACTACAAATTAATCAATAATTTTTCAAAAGGGTGCATGTTTAGTAGATAAATTTCATTAATCCGGGATTGTATTTAAAGGGGAGGAAAAAGACAACTTGCACCGTTTCGATAAAAAGTAAACTTCAAAAAGCCATTATTTGGCTATGGTAGATGATTTAAAAACAAAAATTGGACCTTTTTTTTTTTTTTTAATAACTCCTATTTGCTCAGCAATTTTTTTTTCAGTCAAGTACTTAAAAATTGTTAAGTTAAACTATTGCTTAAAATTTTCAAGCAAAGTCTGTACGTGTTAGTTGTGCCTGTCTTTTTTTCTCTCATTTCGACTAAAAAAAAAAACTCAAAAAAATGGATTTCTACCGTGTGCCCTTGCTGCTATTTCGATTTTCAAACTTCAGCTTCAAATTCTTATGTGCTGATAAGAAGTATTTAATGAGATTTACTGCATATAAAAATAACCGTGGTTTCGCTTCAATTCAACATGACACTCACTCTAAGTCTACTAATTCAACTACAAATGATGATAATACGAACAATTCCCAATGGTGGGATCACTTTTTGTCAGCTAACGACCCAAAACTATTTCAGACATTAAAAACTGACATTGTAGTTTATGAAAATTTTATATCTCTTGAAGAAGAGAAAAGTTTGTTGACTGAAATTGAACCATATCTAAGTAGACTTCGCTACGAACACAATCATTGGGATAATGTAAGTAGCTTGCCTTAGAAAAACATACCCCACCCTGAATACCAATTTCCTTCATGATTAAATTGGCAACAACACTAAAAATATGAGTTGAATGTCTCTCCACCTGTTAAAACTCGGCCCAAATAAATGTTCTACTTGAACTTTGAAGATGTAACAAAATAAAAATAAGCACCATTTTTTTTTCCTTTTTTTAAGCAAATGACCTTTAAAGCCTGACAGTATCGTAAAAAAAAAAAAAGTTTCTCTTGTGTGACACTTGTTTATTTTGTAGTAAACATAATTCAAACGCTACTACTAACCAATCAAAATTTACAGTTTACACACTTAGTCTTTTAAAATGAACAAATTATTTACCAGCATTGCTTTTTGTTTTTTTTTTAAACAAAATGCCCTCTATTCATCCCGCCACAACTAACTAAAATTTCAAAAGTTGAATTTACTTTTAAAACCGTGTCATTATGTTTCAACATTGGTAAACTAGATAGAACAAGAAAACAAGCATCATTAATTTAAATAAATCTGTAGGTAGATGATGTAAACAATAGGCAGCGAGATTGTTAAACCATTATTATTTTATTTTGCATTTTCTAACAAATCTAATTTTGCCAAAAAAATAATAAAAAATATATTTCTTACATTGTCATGTGAATGTTTTGTTTTCAGCAAAATAATTATTCATTAATTACCCACCATTTTATTTTTAAGTTCATAATTATACATATTTACATTTTAGGGGCTCCTAGGCTAATGAAATTATGAAGCCACCCGCTAACTTGGCCGAACCCGTCATGAATAGCGATATTTACATAGATTGAAGTAAAGACCTATCGCAAATTCTTTAAAAAGAAGTGACTAAAAAATAAAAATAGCTATATTTTGCTTGACGATAAATTAAAAATATTCGTTAAAGAGATACCACTGTTTATATTGCAAAAGCAAAAGTCAAAACAATAGCAGCACATATCTCAATACAATTGTAGTAAAAAAAAATAATAATTTGATAACCAGCATTGCAACAATAAAACAAAAAAATAGATATTTAGTTTGTCATACTGATGAAAGTAAAGAACATCTAAAAAAATTAAAACCTCTGCTTTATAAAATCTTGGAGCACTAAGCTAAGCAGAAGCTGCAGCCTTAAAGGATAATCAGGCCCTGGATATATGCTTTTTTTTTTTCTTTTTTAAAGGGGGAAAAAAAGTTCAATAAAAAACAGAATAAGAAAACATTGCTTCTTTACTTCTACTTATGCCTAACTCTGAAGCAACTAAGAAGTTTAATTTCAATAAATATTTCATACCAATAAAAATGTAAAAGTAAATTGATAAAATTTAAAAGCATACTCAGAAAATTGCTATATAACCGATAGGTAATAAAAATAACCTTAAAATTTTTATTAAGGTATATTTCATTGAAAGTTTTTAAAAATTAAGTTAAATGACAAATAAGATTTGTTTCCATTTTTAATAGCTTTTTTTTTTTTCACTCAGTCTACTCTAGTGTCAATGTTAAGCTGGAACTTTTAAAAACTAAAAATCAGACTGCTTATGCTTTTTTATAATATTGAGAATTCTGTAGTCTTTCACAAAAAACTGATGATCTCTCATGGTATTTTCCTTCATGCCCCAAAAAACAGTTTCAAATTGCTAAAAAAAATGTATTTTTGTCAAAAAAAATTTCGAATTGACATTTAACAAGAACATCAACATTTTTTTGATGTTCTTTTTTTAATTTAAATGTCAATTCGAAATCTGAAGAATTGCAGTGTTCCAACACAATTAATAACATTTTAATTTTTCCATCATGTACTTTTTTTTTTTTAAAGTTTTCTTATTTAATAACTTGCTTTTTTACTTTGAATCTTTCTAGGCTATCCATGCATACAAAGAAACTGAACGTAAGCACTGGAATGAATTTAATAAAAACACATTGAATCGCGTCAAATCTGTGGCATTTGAATCAACAGAAATTCCTTTACCTTATGTTCATGTACTGGACATTGAAAAAGTTGGTTATATTAAACCTCACGTTGATTCTGTTAGAGTAAGTTATTGTTTTATCACAACAAACAATGCTTTTAAAGAAGAAATTAATTAGCTTATACAATGATTCTTTAATTAAATCTATGTTACATTGGCTTGCCTTAGGTGCTGAGAGATTCATTAAACAAACTACTAGGAACTTTGAGCCTCTCCTCACATACACTTAAAAAAAAAAAAAAAAGCGTTGTTTTCAATTCTTTGTCTCTCTGATGTTCTTTTTAATATCATTAACTAGTAATTCACTTATATGATGCTACTTAGCCTTTCTACACAACTTAATTGTTGGCTTACTACCCTGTGACTACTACTATTGTTAACATAATTCTGCTACCTATCATAGTATATAAGCTGTAGACTTGTTTGCCATAGTTGAAAAAACTGGTCTAATAAATAAAATCATTGTATAGTAATTTTCATGATCAATTTATGTATATTAACTGAAAAAAAAAAGGTTCACCTTTGAAAAATAAGTAAGCTTCAGCCTGAAAAAAAAAATTTGATTATTAAAGTATAACAGTAATACTAGTATCAGAAATTACAAGCTAAAATCAAATTATTACAGTATCACCATTCTCAAATTATGGGCAGATTGATTTCTGTCAATGTTTTTCTTTCTTTTCAGTTTTGTGGTCGTACAATTGCTGGACTAAGCTTGCTATCTCCATGTGTGATGCGTTTGGCCTTAGAAAAAGACAAGACCAAATATGGTGATTTACTTCTCCTTCCAAGGTCTTTATATATTATGAGGTAAACATTGTTTTGTATATTAGGTTTTGATTTACAACTGGACAGACATTTATTGAATATACTGTACAGTTTTCAAAATAATATTTCATTAAAGTTTTACTGAATTTATCAAAGATCCTTGCATATTTGAGAAAAAATAACTAAACTTTTCTATACTGACACTAAACATTATTTTATTGTTTCACCAATAAAATTTGCCACAGATGTTTGAAATTAAATTTTCAGGGTTTTATCTTACAAGTGACCTTTTCTAAAACTTTCTTACCTAAGCAATCTTGCTAAAATTTACTTCCATATATTTTATTTCATTGGCATTTGACATCAGCTTCAAAAGCATATGAAATATTTCAGTATTAATTAAAATATAGGATACATGGGGAGGTGTAAAAGTTTCCACTTATGTATTCAATCTCTAGTTTTCATAACAGGTTTTGAGAACTTTTGCACATAACTAACACATGAAAATGTAGCTTTTATATTCCAAGTACCAAGATAGGAATATATTGCCATTGAATATGATAAACTGCTACTTTCATTTAAATATGAAAATTTAATTTTGAAGAACAATTTAATTAAAAAGCTAAATTAATTGATTGCAAAATCTTAGTACAAGTTATTTTTCTTAAATGTATGTCCTATATTTATGTTTAGAGTATAGGCACAAATTCTTTTTTCCTTTACCATATAAATCTGTTGCAGAGGAAAGTGTTAAGGTATGTATGGGTTTATATTAACACATTTTTTGTAATTGAAATGGAAAGTGGAAACTACATTTCCTCATAAATGATAGCCAAAAATAACTTCAGAAAAGTAATTTTTGTTTCCTAATTATTTGTTCTATTTTAAGTGTTACTATAATGAATAGCTAACAGAGTTGCAGTGTCAAATAATTTCATTCAGAAAAAAAAAATTAAACTTTTTAAAAATAATCTTCAGTAGAATTACTAAAATAGATTTAGAGGATAGGAGGTTATTAGTTATGGACAAGTTGTTTATCTTGTGACTGTTCATTCCCACCATATATCTGTATATAATTGATTTGGGTATATATTGGCCTTGAGATTTAATTAAAAGAAAAGGTACAGTATTGATATATATATATATAAAATATATTAATACAAAAGGATATTTATCTTTAACTATTTTTTTTTAAATCTATTTTTTTAAATCTCAAACAATTTTTTTTTTTTTTTTTTTTAACAGAGACAGATCTCGTTTCGAGTTTACTCATGAAGTACTTCCTGAAGACAAATCAATATTCAAAGGAAAATGTGTGCCTCGTGATCGTCGTATCTCAATTATCCAGCGTTTAATTCCCAAACAAGCATAAGATGATGACTGTAGAGTGTAAAAAAGAAATAATTTTTCTAATGATAGCATCTATCACTTAAACATGTAATTTGTATGTAATATACAAAGCATAATGAAAAATTAATACTTTGCCTCTACCATTCACTTTCATTATTTACATTGTCTTTTGTCCTCATCTTTATTGCCATATTCATGATGTTTTGACCACTGCATGCTCCTGCTTTCTTCAGGTGATATATGTTGAAATTTTTTGAATCAAACCCTTCTAGCCCACTAGGTTTGATTGTTCTTAGATTAGATATCTCAGTTTCAGTTATTTCCCTTTAGTAACTCAACTCTCCAAGTTTTTGTTCCCTCTGCTATGGCCAGGTATTGAACTCACAACTCTTTGGATCAAGCCACTTTGCAGATTACTCAACCAACACTCTTATCCACTGGGCCATATATGGTCAGTCATGCCCAATTTTTCTGTATCCCCTTCTATCACAGCTTTACAGTGTTCCTGCAGTCTTATCTTAAGGGGACAGCCTTTTTCTCCTTTATATTTCTTGGCACAACTGCACAGGTTGGCATAAATCAAGTTCTCCTTTAATGGGTGGTCTTACTCAGAAGAGATGTCTGCATAATGTTGAACCACTCCTCAAGGTTGTCCTGATGTTATATGGAGGGAGAAGGGAGATCACCACTCTCTGAGATGAAGGTTCACATAATAAACAGAGAACATCACTGGAAAATGTGAAAACTCAAGGAATCTCCTAAGCTGGCCATGAATACAACATGGGAACCAGTAATATATAGAGCTAGGGAAAAACAACAATAACAAAAAATTGTAATACGAGATCTGGTAAGGTAAAAAATGTTAATTGAGACATTTAGGTTTAGTACCAAAACCTCACTGGTGTTACGAAGGACACATGGCCCAATAGATAAAAGCATTGGTTGAGTAATCCAAGTGAATTTAATGCCTGAGTACAGCAGAGTACAAAAACTTGGAGAGTTAACTGAAACTGAGATATCCAAAAAAGGCATGGCGTATGGACTAACTAAAGTGTTCAGTTTGAAATTCCAACATATCACCTGAAGAAGGCTGGCACATACAGCAGCTGAAACGTTAATATGGCAATAAAGGTGAGAACTACAGTCCGAACAATGTAAATAGTTACAATACCTCTTGTCAGAAATTGAGACAGATGTACACTCTTTTCTTCAAACATATTTCTAGTAAACCTGAGTAGGAGATAGCTCATGATTTTAGAAATTAGGAACTACAATAAGGCTGATTTTGAGGGTTTTTTTTTTCTTGGTAGGATTTTTAATTTTAAAAACAAAACTATGAAGCAAACCTGATAATTTTGTATCAATCAATTGGGCAAGATAATGATATCAGAAAGAAGGCCCATTCTGGGTTGTGATTTTGATATAAGATATTCCCATAAGAAAATGGGTTTCACTTTTAAATTGGCATCAAATGAATATAAATAGCCTTATTTTAGATTCAAAGTAAAATCTGACCATTTGAATGTAGGAAAAAAATTTGAAAACACACTGTATGTAGTTCATGACATTAAAATATTCTAAAAAGTTGTATAAAAATAAGGAAGATTCTACAGAAATGCACTTTGATAAAAAAAAAAAAAAATGTACATACCACATGATAAAGCCTATTCTTACAAAGTTTTAAATAATTACAAGTTAAAATAAAAAAAAAGTTAATATTTATCATATTCTTACCGTTTTCTTGTGTTGTGTTGCTTACATATATTAAATAATTTCAGAACAGCCATGAATTTAAAGCAGATTTTGCTTACCTTTTCCCTTTATTATTATTTCCTTTACTTACGTTTATTTACTTTTGGCTTCTGTAGGGGAGGGGGGCAATTTACAATGAATTTACATAAATTACTTAAAACTTGGAAAATTAAAAAAATATATTTGTCATCTGAAGTGTTTCTTCAATGGTAGTATAAAAAAAAAATTGATTATTTCTTGGAGAGGTGTGTTTTTGTACAATATTTAAATTATAATCTAGCATTTGAAATTACAAGGGCTATGAAAATAGCTTCATATTCCAAAATAAAATAAGTATATGTATTAAATTGAAATGATCACAGATATCAAAAATTAATAAGAGAACAAATCATACTGCAAAAAATTAATTAAAATGAGTTTAAAAAGTGGAGGATGGGGACATAAGATATAGAATGAAAAAAGTAGTGGAATAAAATACTTTAGAATATCTCATTTCTCACTGACAACTACTGAAAAAGAAAATAGGTTTGAAATTTTTTAAAAATAGGTTTGATTCTTACTATAGTTAAGAGGAAGGAGCCAGAAGGACAAACCAATTCAGATGCATCTCTCTTTTCAACACCAAGGGTAAAATATTTTTTAGCATCTTGAATCACTGATTGACAGATTTTCTTTTTAAAAAAATGATTACATTGATAATTCTATACAAAAGGATGTATGGAACACATAGGGCTTGTTTCACAGTTGTTAAGATGCAAAGGTAAACAGGGGTAACATAGCTGTCTTATGACTGGACCTTAAAAACGTGTAAGTGTTTTGAAAGCAAAGGAAATGTTTGTTGCAGATTAATTCAGCAACACAGAGAACAAATCACTGTAAGCATTTTTTTTTCATTCGTCGACAACTGGGAGAGGACACCAAGTATCTTGCATAACAAAATACTTTTATAAAAGACCCCTGGGACCGACTTGTTTGTAATCTAAATATTTCATCTTCAGTATGTCATGCAGAATATGTGTCCCTTTTTTTTTGGGGGGGGGGGGTAAGTAATTTTCTTTTCTGTCATAGGATACACATGACGCACTGTTGCTTGGTTTGATGAGGTAAGTTGCCATTTTCTTTGCTATAAAACACCTATGGTTCAATCCCACATAAATTAGTAGAAGCACTCCAACGCCATCATGTCTGAGCTCATTTAGGACTATTATAACAATTTTCAAATGAGAATGGTATCAGAAAGGGGTATTATTACTGGATGCACAATCTCAGCTACCCTATTTTGCCTAGCTATGAATATGATAAAGCTACAGAAGTAGAAGGAAGGTAGAGGCCCAGTCACTAGATCTGGACTAAAGCAACCTCCAATAAGAGTATACATGGACAACATAACAAGTATGTCTGCTATTGGTGCAAGATGGCTGCTAAAGGAGATTGAAAAACTCATTACATGGGCCCAAATGAGTTTCAACAAAATCAAGGTTGCTTGTTTTAAAAAAAAAAAAAAAAAAACGCAAATTATCAGAGGAGTGGTTCAGACTATCTGGGGAATACATTCCAACAGTTAAAGAAAAGCCTATAAAGAATTTAGGAAAGTGCATTGATCACTCTCTAAAAGACGTGACAGTGATCCAAGAAACTAAGGATAAGCTAGAAACAAGGTTAAAGAGTGTTGATAAGTCTGGATTGCCTGGCCGCATTAAAGCATGGATCTATCAGCATGCCATTCTTCTGAATATCCTATGGCCATTGTCCATCTATGAATTTATGACATTTCATATAGAATAGTTAGAAAAGAGGATCAACTCATTACGTAGATGCTCTATATGGCAATTCCAACACACTCCAACTTCCTTTCAAAAGCCTAGTAGAGGAATTTAAAGTCACCAAAGTTAGAACAACAATGCAGTACAAGTTCTCCAAAGGTGGCTGGAGCGGACATCAAAATCTATTTGGGTGTGGACTTAGGGTATTTCCCTACCATTCAGGTAAACGGGGCTAAAGGAAAAGAAAAGAACCTTCACATACAAGAAGAAATACGCAATGGTGAAGAAGAGAAAAGGTTGGCAAAAATAGTGGGACTAAGCCAACAAGGAGCATGGCCCAAATGGGGATCCATGATTTATAGGAAGATCAAATGGTCCGATATATGGTGTAACGACACTAGCATAAGGTTCCTAATTCAAACCATATATGACATCCTCCCCAGTCCCATTAACCTTCACTTATCGTACAAAACAGAATCACATTTATGTCCATTGTGTGTATATCAAGGGACGTTAAAACACATTCTAAGTAGCTGTCAAACAGCGCTAATGGAAGGTCGGTACAGATGGTAACATGACCAAATTTTAAAGGATATAGCAGAGGTAGTTAACATAGCCATCAGTACTAATACATTCAAATCCTGATAAAAGAGTGATAGTTTCTTAAAGCTGGTGATAAACTTAACACAAAGAATAAGTCCACAGCAAATACTTTGTCATTAGCAACGGACTGGGAATTAAAGGCTGACTTAGGAACAATATTAAGATTCTTGGACCACATCATTCATATGCTTAAGATATTATGCCGAGATATTGTGATCTCAAACAATTTAAAAAAATAATAATGTGGGAATTAACAGTGCCTTGGGAAGAGCATACAGAAGAAGCCCATGAACAAAGAAACTGAAGTATGATGAGTTGCTAATGAGTTGCAAAAATAATGGATGGAAAGCAAGCTGTCTGCCAATTGAAGTGGGTGCAAGAGATTTTGTGGCAAGGTCCATTTGCAAAGCCCTAACTGATATTGGATGGATGGATGTTGGATTTAACGGCATGTCAACTCCTATTTACTGATATTGGCTAAGAAAACGAAGGTGATTCAAACCATAACTGATGCAGCAGAGAGGACTGTCAAATGGCTAAGATTTGGCGAAGGCCTTCGTTTGCCGTAGCCGGACTCCCATAATGCGCCTTAAGAGGCATGTGCGTAAGCAATAACAAAACTAGTTTATGCAATAACGTTTGAAAAAGAAAAAGGAGGAAGAGGAGAGGGGGGAAGAAAAAAGTTAAAATGTGTAAATAATATGAATATTTAAAATGTTTTTGTTTAAGTATGCAACTTGAATTGTACAGGAACAGCTGACGAACATTTCATGTTAGTTTGTAAAGCGTCTTACTTTTAAATCTGTATAATCTGTTTTTTTTTTTGTTTTTTTTTAAGTGTTATATACCCAATTTTGTGTGTATGTTTATTTTAAATTATGTACAACCAATACATTGTTGGGTT